TACGCAAGGAATTTTAAAAGTCATGCTGAAAATGCTGATGAAAAAGAAAAGCTTTTATAAATATATCCTATTTAATTATATGGAAATGTGTAATAAATAAATTATATGCAATTGATATGCGACTACTTTTTAATGACAGCTACAAATGTAAAGTATAGCTATTAATGTGTGAAGAGGTTGGGCAATGTTATTTCGGTATTGTACAAATGCTTGTGAACATTATCGTTATTGTTTACACGAACATCAACCATAAATCCATACGGGAAACCAATTAAAGGTGGCGACCCACCCAAACCCACTTTGCGAGCATGTCCAAGTGTCTGTGATAAATGGCTGGCCATATTTTTACACTGCCAACAATTAGTGCAAACGAAATCAAATTTAAGCAGCGCTCGTCCAGCTCCACCAACTTTAGCAAATCATTGTGTAATTCACTCGAAATACAAACGAGTGAGTCCGAGCCTGAGAAGCGGGCAACGGGCCTGGCCAGCAGGCGGTCTCTGATATTAGAGTTGGTAAAAGGAATACATAATAATGATGTTTAGGCCGTCAGGCATGTTGGTGCCCTCACATAGTTGCCATTTTATTTATGACACTTGCACGTAACGCCCAGCAGCAACAAAGATAATAGCACACACCAACAGCAACATCAACACGAACACACACAAATTACACTAGCCCAACTGGTCTCCAGGGCACAACTTGCCAACAGGCGCACGGAGCATAAAGCGCTGAGACATGAAAGTAAAAGCAGATGCGGATGTGGATATGTAAATGGAAATGGTTGGCCCTGGACACTTCAGAGAAACCGCACCAGGCCAGGCCAAATAATTATCTTGGCGCATAATCTCGATCTGATGTTTTGGTAAAACCAGCAGGCAGCCATTCCGGGCCAGATCTTTTGCCTAGGACAAGGCTGGCTTTTGTCTTAATGCCACGAAAATCTCAGCCACACAATCTATATAAGCTTGGGTGTGTCTGTGTGCGTGGTCTGCGTGTGACTGCCAGCCGCATATTTACTTTGCCTTTAGTTGTAACAACATGAAAATTATGCTGATTATGAGATTGGCCTCTGACAGGCCTCTAGTTGAGGCCGACACGCCCACTGGGCGTTACGACAAAAATCGCAACTTCAGCGCTGTGCGTCGCGTATGCGAAAGTGTCAAGGTCCATGGAGCCTAATAAGCCTAATAAGCTTAATGTGCTTAATAGATTAATTAGGAGCCAGAAACACACGTAAACAAAAGTCGCCGCATAAATGGCACACAAATGAATAATTCGAATGGCAATGCATTCGCAGCTGAGCTACTGAGTGCCCATCAAGTCAACAAGCCGGCAAGCAGTGTGTGTGCGTGTGTATGCTCGCTGCACTCGAATGAAGACCACTTTTGAGGTGCTAAATTAGCGCACGCATTAAAAGAGCATTACTCATACGCAGCGTTGCCTACTTGAATGCATAAGCAGCGCACACGCTTTGCCACTCAAACTGAAAGGATTAAAAAACCCATCGATATACATATAAATATTTACATGTTTGCAGTTTATTTAAGCATGTACATTTAGAGCCAAAATCATATACAAATGTCCATAAATCCAAAACGTAAACTACATAAATTAGAATTTTGTATTTATACGAACGTTTTCGCATACGAAATGCGGGTCACGTGCGCGGCTTTATAACCACAACCAGGCGAACCTTTTGCTGATTACGACGTGACCAGCAAGCGAGCCATCAAAAAAATACATATATATATATATATATATATACCAGCATAACAGTTGTGTTTTGTGAAATTATTTTAAATTATATTTGATAATTGAATGAAACACACGAGCATAAAAATGATTTACTGCCATGTTTCGTATTTTTTTGAAATCAACAAAAGGATAACGGATTGTTGGCACGCTCTTGAGATATTATCCGCGCATGCGCCAATGCCCACAACTGAAGGCTGAGAGCAGGGAGCGGGGGTTGTGACAATTGACACGTGCCTTTGTTTACACAAAGTAATGAAATTTCAACAGCAAACAGCATCAACATTTGTACGCATTCTAGAGTGAGTAAGTGTGTGTGTTGCTTGTGTGTGTGGGTGGTGCCGGAAATTGGGCATAAATGCGACTAATTTCATTAAGCAACAATGCGGCCAATAAACCTATCCAAAGCATCAAAGTCCTATACAAACTTTGGACAGCAACAACAACTAAAGATTTCGAAATTCAATGCATATTAATGAGCTCTCCGATAATTGTATTGAAAACTCGTCTTTGAAAAGTAGGAGCCAACGCAGATATTGGCCATTAGCTGGCATCCTTATTCCCCTTACTATATCCCTGTGCACATAGCTATCGACCTTGCACATTTTTTCGTACCTCAACTCAAAATATATTTAGCGGGCTCTCGTGCATTTTTAGCTTATTTTTGTACATGGCAACATAAATTATAGACGCCCCCACGACAGTGGCATCCATTTATTTTGCTCATATTTTTGGTTGCCAGCCTTGAGTGCAGCAAATGCAAAATATCACGTCGAAACAAAGCAGCAAGAGATAACTCTGTGAGCCTTGCTGGCCAAAATATGCAGCAAAAATTTATGCTTCGCAGCAGCCGAGTCTCCGGCCCGGGCAAGGTCAACCGTTAAAGGCCAGCCACGCCAGGTTTAAAGCAATTGCAATTTTAGATTTCAAGTAATTAAATAGCAATTTGAAATGTATACAACGCCTTCGACGGAAGTGCGGGTAGACAATAACGTTTCATTGCCAAAGTTTTCACTGTAAAATACATACAAAATACTTTTAATCCCAATTTACATAAATATTTATGGTGATGGTGCTGAAATTTGCCGCCCCTTCTCCCGTCTCTCTCACACCATTGGCGCTAATGTGCCTTAATCTTTAATGAGCCAAGTTTCACCAGTCAGCCAGTCGCGGCTGTTGTTTGGTTCCAGGTTTTGGTTTCGGGATTGGATCTAGTTTTCCTTTGGTTTTCCTTATGCAGTACGTGTTGCCATTTGGCGAGTTGTTGTGCCGCTGGCACTGACTGAAACTTGGCATTGTAAACTACTTTCCGGGCACTTTGCAATGCTTGCTATCAACGGAATTTCGGCTGAAAGATACAGTTGCCAAGATCTAATTACAAAGATAAACTGTTATGCTCGCCGGCGTGTGTGTATGTGTGTGGCATTTAAATGTAAGAGCAATTGGCGTAAATGTATTGCCAACAGATGCTGAGAAAGGCATTGAAAAGTGTTTACACTAAATAAAGCCCAAGCTGAATGCCAATATAAAAGGATACCATATTCAATCTTGAAAATGCGCCAAAAGTACTTAGTGCGATTAAGGTGATGATACAGGCCGAAATTGCATAACAGGTAAGAACCACATTAAATTTCAAGACAACTTATTTACTCAAATGCATTCAACTTAGATTCAGGAGAAGCTAGGATAAAAAGTCAGTCCCGAAGCCAATTGTGTTACGTTTCGCAATGTTGAGACTGCTTACAGGGTATGCAATTTGAAATGTTATTATATTCCCTATCAAGCCTCAGGCACATTAATTTCAAGAATTTGGAAAGTGCAATAAACTATGATTTAGCTTGAATTTTAAAAGCTTAAAAAAGATAAAATTACTTTTTCACTTGACCCACCATTTTTATACTTACTTTACAACCAATTTCTCACTGTGTAGTTCAAGATTAATCTAACTCTCCACTGACATTTGCAGCCACGCTCCTTGGGACAAGACTATCGGCATTTTTTATAGCAGCACTAGTTAGTTATCTGAATTTTTTTATTTGCAATTCCCTGTCTCTATTTTCATTAGAGAAGTGCGCGTTGCACTTTGCTGACAGCAAAATCCACACCAAGCTAACGAAATACCAGAACTCCTGCTCCTGTACATTTTCGCTCGCAACCCCACGTGATGTGCTCGCTACTTATTTTAATTGCTCAACATTTATCACAACTCTTGTTTCGACTGCGTGAGTTTGTGATTGTGCGGCTGTGTGTGTACGGGAGTGGGTGTGTGTCCGTGTGTGTACACGAAGCATGCTTTTAGGGGCATTCGCATTGTTCGTAACTCTCGACTCGCAGCTTAATCGACTGATTTAGAAGTTTATTGCATTTCCCTTGCTCGGCCTGGCAAGGGAAATGGCGCCGGACACGAAGGTATTTAAACGCTGTGCAAACTGCGAACTGAGAACTGGGAGCTGCAACTCGGGTCTTTAGTCAGCCACTTTATTGTCTCGCTTCCTGGTCCCATCCCGATGCCAGTTTAAATGGACTTCCGTGCATAAAGGATATAATGTTCGCTGGCAAAATGAGCGCCGGGACATAAAAGCGCCAGTTAAAAATGTGCTTTAATTTATTGGCCTGCATTTAAATTACAAACAATTGCAACAGCTTTCAAGCTACTTTTGCCATGTTTTGTCGAGTTAAAAGCTCAGTTTTGTCATAAATATTTAACTTATTTTCGAAGCAGCGCACCCGCATCGTTCTCCCTGCTATCAGTGTGTGCACGAGTGCGTGTGTGTCTGTGCTTGTGTGTGCGTGTTTATTTGCCTGACACAGTGTCCTTGACCGTTGCGTAAATAATTATGCGGGCATAGCATTGTCCTTTGCCCTTTGTCATTGTCAACGCCCATGCAACGAGCATGCGACAATGAATTCAAACCGCAGAGATCCCCGATTTATGTCACAGACATCGCATATTAATGGCTGCTTATAGAAACGACAGCGCATAATGCTACAAATAATCCATACATACACTGACTGCAGAGGTGCATGACTAATTTACATATATTTTTGCGCATCCTAATGGCTCCCATAATAATAATTCCATATGCGCCGACTGCACATTAATTATTTTCAATTGAATTTGCCAAAGAAAGCCACATTTATTATTTATTATTTTCACAATTTATTATTTAATAAATAAATAAATAATTTAATTCTCTATATTACATTACTGTATGAAATCATTGTATACTGTACTAATGTTAAAATGTTATTCAGTCCGACACAATATAACTTATATAACAAGTCAAAAAGGCTATGAGAACTAGACAAGTCGATTTAGTAACGCCGAAGCTGTACATCCTTAGGTAAATAGCCAAAACGCGTACGCAAATACTCGAGCGAAAGAAACAGCAATACCGTGTGTGGTCCCAGGCGTGCAAACGCCGGAATGGAGCCCTTGAAAAATGCCATGGGTCCCTCCTGGGCAGTCTTGTAGAACACATCTGCCATGTTTGCGTATTCACCAGGACGCGCATTCATGCGACGCGTCTTGGCCACATCGATGGGCTGGGTAAGCGCTGTTGCCGCAATCGCCGATATTATCGATGCTAAGATGTACGTGTCCATTCGACTGGGAAAACCTGCGGCAACAAGAAAGTCCTTGCTCTGCTCATAGAAAGCAATTTGGCCAACGGTCATAAAAGCACCACGCGTCGCAGCAATGGAGGCGCCATTAAACAGATGTGAGCAGCCCTCTTCGCGACAGACTCGCGCAAGTCCGTCAATGGCGTGCTTGTAGCTGAAATTCAGAATATCAACAAACTACAACAAGTCTGACCCAACACCTGTGCTGTGGGCGTATATGAATTTGTTTACTTTCTTCGTTGCTCTTGCGGCAGCTTTACATCATTCTGCATACGCACGTTGAGCAAATCTGCTGGAGCACCGATAAATCCACCAGCGGCGCCCCCCGATGCGGCCAACAGGACTTTGCTCATCATCGAGGTGGTGTCTATCATGCTGGCACCAACGGTATAGAAACCAAAACGGGATAAAGTGTAGGTATATTGGCGTAGTAGAGAGGCTGAAATACCATTATACATTGCCCATACGCCCTGTTCACGTACAATTTTACGGGTAGTTTCCGCAAGAGATAATTTCTCCTTTTGCGTCTGGAGCAATACCTTCAGCAAGTCCAACGGATGCGTAACCATCGCTGCCATTGAACTGGCCACACCACCGAAATACCAACGCGTAATGCGACGCTGATCATACGACATATTTAATTTAAACAACTTATTTACAACTATTTACACAACTATAAAAAGGTCTTTCAAAATTACAACCTGTAAAAAAATAAATATGAATTTAATGTAAATGACGCAAATCGAAAAGCAATCTGACGTCATTGACCCAATGAAAAATTGCCACATTGTGTCCTTGCGTTCACTTGCGTGACGCCAGCTACTTGGCCCAGTGTAACAGGTGGGAATGTGCTAGCTAAAGGTATTAGCATGGAATTTTACCTGTATATATTTAGATGCTTATATGATATATGTGATATAAGTCGGAAAATTTACGCCATTGGAAAATTTTATGGAAGCATCTAAAAACTTTATTAAACACATTTTCATACAAATTTATTGTATACGTATTTTATAGATTAAGAATCTTAACAGAAAAAAATCTAAAACAAATAACTTTTCAGTCATTTTGCTTTTCATTATTCATTTTTAGAGTTCTACAAAACCATCCCCTGGCTGAAACCAAAACCTCCAATGTTGTACGCAATTATGAACTTCAGTTGATTACTTTATTTAATTTCAAACACTCAAATTTTCATTTAACACACGACTGCGCTATATTTTTGTATTGAACTAATGCCATCGTTATAAGTACAAAATCCTAAATGACGTAAAATGTATTTACGATAAGGATTCTTCTTGGACAGATGCTGTAGACATGACATAATTAGATCGTGTAGCTGCACAATAATTCAACACTTACTGGCTAAATTTGTTTATATTATTCAAGACAATAATTGATTAAGCGCCATCGTAGAAATTTTCCTTCACACTGAAGTATTCTTGAAACTAACATGCGATACTTACAAGTATGTGAATTTAAGTAATGACAGGGATTCCTCTTAAAAAAGTCCTGTGTAAATACTATTTAATACTTGCAGATTAGATTACCTATTAAACAATATCGCTTAGAATTTTTCTTTCTTAAATGTAGTACAGATTTGGATTATTCTTTGACATGTCCTGTAGGTGAAAAGGCATTATAAATCACTACAGTTAAACAGATATTATAATGACAACTTACACTATTTCGGAGCAGTGAGATGATAACCGCAAAAGCACCTAGACTACATAAATAGTTGGATATTTGAAGTTTCTGCTGATCGTCTAAAGTGTTTAGATACTTATAAGCGAGAAAGCCGAAATAAATCAAACACATATTAAAGAGAAGTATGACTATTGAACCCTTAATTAGAGAGCGCGAAGGAACGTAATTAGCGCGATTTTCTGGAAAGAAAAAGCTTTAGGTCGTGCCTAATACGCCCACATACACACTTACTTCTGGGCAAGGCCTGGAGTATTTGATGATTTCCTTGCTCGCAGGCATTTATCAAAGACGTCGATAATTTAGACATATTTCTTATAAAACTACAGCTTTTATTTTAAACTAAACATTTACAACAATGAATATTTTTTGAGAGAGAACTCAATGCACGCAATAATTCGATTAGCTTGTGCTCAGCTCAAGCAACTAAATGCCATATCATTTACACCTGATTTACCAAATAGAACCAGGTCCAACAACAAACCCCAGACGCGACCCCTCAAGAGGTCCTCTGATACAAAATACCGAACAAAGCGCTCGCGACACGCAACTGACGCAAGTGCCAAACGCAAAACACGCACATTTTGATTATGCTAATGATGCGTGTTGTTTTTAATGTTATTGTTGTTATTGTTGCTGTTGTTGGTGGTCAGTTCATAAATATTTTGACAGCCCACACAGAGCGGAAGCGGATGCGAAAGCCTGGCATGTCCTTCAGATGCCACAATATTTATACAAGTGCCCTTCTTTCAATTCCATATTTAACTCTGACAAATGCACAAAAAGACTATCGCATGCTTTTCTAGTGGGAATACAAGTCAAAATTGTTATTAGTAAGAATTAGTTAATTATGATGGGTTTTCATAAAAAACACTAGTGCGACAGCAATAAAATTGTTTTACTGCTGCGCAAGCCAAAAATATTTGATTGCTTTCAGATGGAAAAAGCCCTACAAAAATGTCAATCTAAATATGAAAAGTGCCAGCATTTCAAGTTTGTTATAAAACCTAAAGCCTATTAAAACAGAGATTTCAACTTTTCCTGCAAGCAAAACGCGCTCACACATTTTTTTTAGTATATACATATATATATTTTTTTTTGTTTTAGTTTGTCAACCGCAAAATGTTATTTAAAGTTTAGTGACAAAGCGAAGCGGAGAAATAGAGAACATTGTTATATTGAGTTGAAATTTCTGAAAATATTTAGTTTAAATAAACAAACTTTAAATTATTATTTTGCTGAACTTTACCATTCTGAAATGAAACTATTTTATAGACAAATGCATGCTTTAGGTTGAAGCCATTTTTTATTTAATCATGTGATGAACATTTCCAAAAATGTAAACACAATTGAAAAGCCAAATTATGTTTCAAGCCTACATGAACAATTTTGGATAACAGAAAATGCTGCCATTTCTTGTTTATTTGTTGCTGCAGCATTTCTCCTTGGGTCCAGACTTGCACACACAGTTGCAATCCTTATGGCAGGCACAATTGCTGCCACACTTTTGTGCCGTGCACTGGCAATCTGTACAAATGATGCTGGTCAGTATCCAAGTCGTATTATTTATTTAGAATATATATTAAACTTACTAGTTCCACAACCCTTGCAGCCCATTATTTTTTTTAATTGTCGATTTCAAAATGAAAAATGTTTAATTATTGCAAAGCTTTTCACTTGCTGTACTCAACTGTTGTTGCCTCTACTGAGCACCCATAATATATTTATAGTAATTCCAAAATCAATGTCGGGTGCAAAACAAAACAGGCAGGAAAGGGCCAGGCTTATCAGCAGTTCGTGCGCAAAGTGCGTAACTGCTCGCGCCTATCAGTTGTTGGCATTATGCAAACCAATTTTGCGCCCAACACCTGCCTCGCCTTAGCGTCCAGCACGATTGGCCGTGCTGCACACGGCGCACTTATCAGCTTATCAGTATGCGTTGCATATACAAATCGAAAAACCGGCGGGTGCGCCAACACGGCTGCCAGGCTGTAACGTGATTCAATATTTATATGTATGTATATAGTATGTTAACTCTATCCTGCAGGGGCTGCGAAAAAACAGTCAAGCAAGATATCCACAAAATCGCTTCAATTTGCCAAACAAATAAAACTTCAATCAATTTAATGGCAACATTTCGTTTTCTTTACAGTTTTCTAAAATGCCGGAAATTCGGAATGGCTAGCCAAATCGACTTTGAAGTAGAAAACTGCTTTACACGCTTTACAAATAGAATTTCGACAAAACTAATCAACATATTGCACAGGTTTTATTTTAAGCAAAAAGTGCTCCGGCGCTCGTTCCAAATAATTTAGAAAAATTTATTGCATACCTTGCGGCATGAAAGGGAAAATATTTGTATTAGTTGCGAGATATTGTAGAAATTTACTTACATACGTAAGCAGAGAATCGGACGGAATCATATGAAAACCTTTGCATACAAATTTTGCATTCTTTTGGGGATGCAATTTAAAGTACAATAATTCCAAGTAATCAAGAAAAATCTACTGCATACCTTGTGGCATGAGAGGAAAAACATTTGTATGGAACAAGTTTGGTTGCTAGATATTGTAGAAATTTACTTACATACGTAAGCAGAGAATTGGACAATAATCTTTATTAATGTCACCTCTAAGAGTTCTTAGTCGTTATTAGGAATTCTTAAGAGCACATTTTCCAGCCTACACTCTTTCCAATAACCTTCTCTTTCTGTAAGCATAAGAATAGAAAAGCATTATGCAATATCTTCTGAAAGAATCGCATTCTTATCCTTTGCAATACATAATATTTGCCGGCTCGAGTAATATAAACTTTGTTTATTTGCGACTGCACTCGCTGCGAGTGCACAAACAGCTCTAAAAATAGTCAATGGGCTAAAATGAATAAAATCCACTTGTTAGCATCACATAACAAAGAAGAAATTCTAAGGCACAATATGATACTGTGAATGAATACGAGCATAAACTAAACTAAATTGTGTCTCTGGTATTGGTTACTGCTGCGCTTGGGGTTGAACACTTTGATTGTCCTGGCGGTGCTAGCTCGGTTAGTCCTTTAGCTCGGCCGCCGTGTTAACGAATCCAGTTGTCTGTGTCAGATGCAGTTGTTTCTGTTCGGCCTCCACAGCCTTTTGCTCGGGCGACTTGGCCCACTCCTGTAGGTCGCCCGAGGCATAGAACCAGTAGATGACGCAGCCAACAAGATAAATGCCAGCCGATATAAAGAATACCAAGCGCCATTCATGACGGTCTCCGCTATCGCCCACAATGTAGCCCGTCAGCAGGGGACTGACAATGCCGGGAATGGTGGCAAACGTGTTGCCAATGCCCATCAGAACACTGGCGTGCTGTGGTGCAATATCCAAGTGATTGACACTGCAAGTGTTTCAAGAATTAAGGCGCTCCACAGCTGACAGCTGCATTTGTGGCAACTTACGCGAATCCTGACCAAGCAAAGGCGCCCAGGCCGACGGCAATTGTAATAAAAACAACCGACCAAGTGGGATCCATAATATAAGCCGTTAGCATCATGAAGACCGTTTGAGCCAAGAAAGCACCACAGTTGAAGTTTCGACGCACTTGGGTTGTAGTCCAGATGCCCTTCACTTGCAGCCAATCGGCCAGATAACCAGATATGGCCAGCAAAATGCCCATGGCCAGGTAGGGCACAGCCGATAAGAAGCCAGTTTTGCCCAGATCAAAGTTAAGCGTATCTTTAAGGAAAATAATAATATATAATACTTTCTAGATTGAGCTCCTACTAAACAGCTTACCCTTAAGAAAACTTGGCAGCTGTGTTAACAGCGTGTAGAAGCCCCAGTTCTCAGAGAAGTGTGATGCAATAATGGCATAGAAGGGCATTGATGTGAAGAACGCTTTCCAAGGGTGCTTGATCTTCTTGGCGCCCACATAGCCAATCGATTTCTGTATGTATTCACACTCCTCTTTCGAGCAGAAGCGATCCAGCTCTGGCCCAGCACGTACAAACAGCAACCACAGTATCAACCAGACCACACCAATTGCTCCAAATACGTAGAAAACGCTCGCCCAGCCGTAGCGTGCTGCCAACATACCAGACGATGGCATTGCAATCACCGTTCCAGCATAATTGCCTGCAAATGCAATTGATGCCATGCGAGAGCGTTCCAATGGCGGCGACCACCTAGCCCACACGGCATGAATGCCCGGAAATGTGACGCCTTCGAATACGCCCTCAATAATGCGCACAGCCAGGAACATTCCCAAACTGTGGTTAGCTGCCAATGGAGTGAGCAGGGTGAGGATGGCAGTTGTGCCGATGCCCAAGCCAAAAACCTGTCACATTAAGAGGGAAGGAAATAAGAGAAAAAGAATTTCAAGTACGTTCAATTTTAAAAATGAAATCAAATATATAATAATAATTGAAATATTATTACAAATTTAAATATAAAAAAATATACAAATCAAAGTTATTAGCCAATTTTTAAATTGAATTGTTAAATAAGGAATTAATTTGTTATCAAACTTACAAGATTGCCGCCAACTTTGGTGCCAATGTAGCCGCCTAGGAACTGTGTCAGAATATAGCCATAGAAGAAGGAGCTCAATATTAGGCCCTTCTGCTTGGGGTCCCAGGGAAAGTCCTGTTCGTAGGATATATTGCCATCGGCATCCACCACGGTGCGATTCTCGGTCATAGCCACAATGGCCACCGAAAGATTCACGCGCAGCGAGTAAACATTGAAGAAGCCAAAAAAGGCCAACAGAACCACAATGTAGCGCTGCTTGCGCCAGAATCTCCAGGTGAGTGGTTCACTCTCAACAAGTTCATTGCTGTTGAGCATGAATAGAAAGAGAGAAGTTGGCTGCTTATTATGAAGTACCATATGCAAATATTTGTTTGTCTGATAACGCTGCCGGACAAGGCCAAATCAGCAGGGAAGCCACTTTCGCTGGCCATTTATAAATTGTTACTGGTTTATTTGAATACAACATTTTTCGCTGTCTGCAGTTGCCAGTTGGGCCAGAACCAGTTTCTCAGCTATGCGCGGCATTAACAACTGGTTTGCTTTTGACCCATTTGGCTGCTGAAGCTGCAGAATTTCAAAATATTACATATGAACACAGTATACATGTCCTACATGGAAGTAGTTTGTTTTGCATTCAAGCAAGAAGAACATTTCCTTGACAAGTGTTCGACCATTGCTTATAACCATTGGCATAACACGGAACCGATTTGTGTTTTCTTGTTTTTTGTTTTAAAGTTTGGCCAGTTTTAGCTTTAAGTTGAGGCAGTCACATATTTGATTTCAACTTACTTGTTGTGATGCGGCTGATGGCCATTGTGCTTTTCGACTTTTGTTGACTCCAGATCTGTCATATTGCGTTCTGTGTGTATGGGGCGTATGATCAATCTATTCAGGCATTAAGAGCCTGCAAATAAATTAGATAAACACACAAAAAAGCAATTTAAATATATATACCAAATACACCGGCCACTGTCCAATATGCGTGCTGGCGTTTCATTAAAATCAAATTAAAATCAAGTTCCCCTTCCCTTTCATCTCTAGAGCAAGTTCAATAGAAAAATTGCACACAATACGAAGCGTGTCATAATTTTTTGCAATTTATTATTTCTTTGTTCGCGCCCTGCTATTTATAAACAAATCTACAACAATTTATTGTCTCCGGGCAGCATTGCGTGCCGGCTACAATTGGCATTGACATAGAACTTTAGCCAGGCCACGGGGCACGGCATTGATTCGCCAAGCATCTTAATCCGGATATACAAATGCATGGAGCTCACAAAAAAAAAAAAGATGTATTTTAAGCAATTGTCTCGCCTCATCGGCAATGCTCCTTGGATGATAACGCCTCTTAACTCAATTATCCATTTAACTTATTAAGCACATAGTTTTGCAAATTGTGCCATTTGAGGCACGCGAAATATAGTACAGAACACACACACGCACACGCATACAACAAAAGTCATCGCATCAAAAATTCGTAATTGTGGCGTAAGTGAGCCCAAGCACTTGGGCACAGCTCAGCGACCGGTTTTTGGGGGACTTTCACTTGATTTGCTTAGCATGAATATCAGCTATTCCCAGTGCATAGACCCCGGTCCACAGTCCCCAGTCCTCGGTCCCCAGTAACCATTCCCCAGATACGTGCTTTAAAACTGTTCACTTATTCGCACGTGTGTACAATTTTTCGGCAATCAGAGCCAAGAGCGACATTTATATTTAGAAGTATCATTAGATAAGAGATACTAACGATACGATAAGATATGCTCTTGTCAGCAATTTTTATTATTCTAATTCCCCTTTTAAATTAGCATTCAACTAATAAAGAACACACGCATTGCTTACTTCACATCTTGGGCATCTTTAAGGGAAAAACTATTTCAATGTCTCTGCAATCTATTTAGTGCCCGGCTTGAACTAGTTTAGCTCAAATCCTGTCAAATCCTGTAGGTATCAAATTGCAAGCCGGTTCATGGGCTTGAAGTGTGCATATATCGTAAAATTTCCTGTTTTCACTTTCTACTCAACCATCCAATTTTCTCTTTAAATAAATGCAATTTACTTTCATTTAGCAATAAGTACATCCCCAGATTTGGGCGCTCGGCTCAAACACACTATAATATAACCTACCGCACAATAAATTACAAATTAAAGCAATTTCCTGGTAGTTGAATTAACTAATCGAAATAATATCAAATTTTAGTGCTAATGCTGGACAGCATTAAATAAAGCAATTGCCTATGCTACAATAGGATTTATAAACTATTTGCTTAGATTTAGCAACAATGGGCCCAACAAAATGCCACAACAATGTAGATGAGTTATGACCTGTCACGATTAAGTTCCTATTAGCGCGTACTAATCTTAATTGTTAGTCTGATTAGCGTAAACATTAATGCAAACAACAACAATAACTGTTGAGCACAATGTAGCCAGTAAATATGAGCATATCTATTGTTATGATGATATTTGCGTTAACTGGCCTAAGATAAAGCCTAAGCAAATGCGGAGAAAATTACAATGATATTGTCGAATTTGAATGAATGACAAGTAAATTGAAATGCCAATAAGTGCTCGATGAGCTGACTAACAAAAACTACATAACAAAATTTAAATATGTAGTGTCCAAGTTGGGCTGAGTATGTAATAAATAAGGCAGTGACATTTATGAAGCAATTCGATAAATTTGCTTTGTTTGTTTCGTCATATGCACATGCGATTGAAAGTCAAAACACTTGTTCTACCCAGACAAATTAAAAGTTACAATTTAAAACAGCTGCCTGAATTTGTAGTTAATTTACAGCATTTCATGTGTTGCAGGCAAAAATAGCAGAAACTCTTTAATCAAAACTATCAAAGTGGCAGTTGTGCAAACAACAAAGCCGCACAAACTAACTCCAACAGCTTAACAAATGCATACAACTTTTAGATTGAAAATAGTTAAATTAAACACACACACATACACACTGGTGTGCACACTCACTCACATGCACATGCATATTTCAAGTAGCCGTTATACACAGAATGCCAGAAAACTTGAACGCACCACGAAACTTTGTTAAAGGCTCTTCAAACTCCTCAAGCTGATCTCTCCCTTTGCAGCTGATGTATCTGGGTGTAGCTCGGCGGTGTGATTTGTTGGATGCGTGGCCAGGTGTTTAGCCGCCGGTTGCTCGCAGCGCACTGAAACTGCAGCTTGTTGCCGGCGTCCAGCTGAACGCGACCGCAAAATGCTCGACCGGCTTAGGTACGCTCCGGAGACTCGGCGCTGAGCTCTGCTCTGATCTGCTCAGCTGATCGTGCGTTGCGTTCAGTTAACTTCAATTAAGGTACAACCGGACAGAGCGGTACAGAGCGCGTCTGGGTTTAAACCTTGACTGGAGATTAATCACATTGTGCGAGCAATTTGCTCTTTGCCTGGGTAATCGTGATGGTAATCGACATAAAGCTTATGGTTTGATTAGGCACAAAATGTGGGCGCTATAAAGATAGTAATCTAAAAAAAAAAAACAACGGAATTCACGCGCCGTTTTATTATTAAATTAAATATGCCAAGATTTAACTTTTTCCATTAGCTTTTATGAACTTCTTGCAAACGGTACGCATATGGGCTACAAACATTGATAGATAAGTACCTAAAGAAGACAAGAATTGTTATCACATTTGATAATATAATATAAACAAAATAATTTATCATCTGAGCAGTAGGCGGTAGGTAGTAGACCAAAAAAATAACCCATCATAGCTAACAATTATAAAAAAAAAACACTCAAAATCAAATTAAAAAACCAAACTTGCTTCATTTATTGTTAAATAAATGATTATATATGAAAAAAAAAGTCTGAGATTTATTGCATTCTAGTTGGTAACCCTTTTAAAATCTCGTAAAATATTTAGAGTATGCGTTATATATATTTTATTTATAAATATATTTTGGCAATAACAGAACACTAATTGCTAGTAGAAACGGGATGGCGCACATGTTTGTAAAAACCAGTTATAATTTTAACACATTCAAAATTAGTTTCATTCACACGTAACATATTTGTATGTGATTTATAAATAAACTTTTGCAAAAATGGCTAGCTGCAAGGGCATAAAACCATTTTGTACACCGTAAAATCGTGCCATGCAGGCAGGGCTTAAGTAAACGATGCGGGATGTACGCATTTTCATTGGGGCATAAGCATTTTTTGTATTCAAAACAAAAACATTTGGACCACAATATAAATAACGGGTAGTGCGAATTGGACAGCGTTGGACGTAATTGGTAATACAAATAAACAGCTCTAAAGTTAACCGGTTTCAGCCGGATTGATTTGTGCGACATCTTTCTGATTTATTATGAGCACATGTGTTAATTATATGAAACGTAATTTTAATTAAACTCTAATTGGCAGCACGACGCTGTTAATGTCAAGCGCTAACAGCAGAGCTGTTGCTGTAACAGCATCAAGCAGTGCGCATTAACAGACATGCTGTTAAATTGCATATACGCCATGTTATCCCTTATATTGAAAAATAAAACATTCAAACAGCAATAATTGTAATTAAAATAATTAAAAGAATACACATATATATTGCTATGTGTTAACACGTATGGGTATAATACAAAATTTTGCGTCATATCGCATACAATTGTGAGAGTCGCACGTGCTACCAAATAAATAAACAATGTGTTGTACTCAGAGCAAAGCGAAAGGCAATTCAATTTGCATTGACAGCCAGCAGCACGTGAGACAACAGCACAACACAGCAATGTAAACAAGCTGCCCAAATGGACACACTACATACACACAGCCCCAATACAGAAACAATATCAGATGATAGCGTAAAAAAGATATTGATTGATAAAATGCAGCTGTCATCAAATTGTTTGCAATTTGCAAGCGAGCCTCCAGCCAAATCGCAACATTTGCGCGCTGCTCCAGCTAATTGTTTTGGCCCCAAGCGTAAGGCAAACGGGACAACAACACATACGCCTTACAATAATATTTCACACCTCTGTGAATGCATGAATGTGCAATAGGCAGCTTCACTTTCAATGATACGCATGCTTTTCGTGTGTTTCGCATTAGCTAACGCTGTGCTTTAAATAGACTGCAAGTTTAATATGAAAAAAATCAAATAAAAAAAAGAAATGCTCATACCTTAAGTACATTATTGTCAGCAGTGTATACAAGAGATCTAAAAGGTCGGAACACAGAGATGCTTGCTCCTCTGTAACCAAAAATAGAACTATGACGTTTTTAATTGACATGAGGCCACAGCAGCCTTGGCACACGCAATCCGTAAAATATAAATGGTTAACAAATGTAGAAGAAATATAATTTTATATTTTCTCATCTATTTTTAAATGCTCTAATTAAATTGTTCCGGAAAATCTCGCACAAAATGCCGCCGGTATTGGAAATTGGGCTCAAAAGACCTCTATTAAATGCGCCATTTGTTGCAATGCTTTCGCGGTTGTTGCATGCCACAATGGCAGGTGTTGGCGTTGGTTTTACTTTGGCATTATTCGCATTTCTTGTCGTTGTGCTTCATTGTTTGTGGATTTATTCGCCTCAGTGGCAAAGGGCTGTCGCCCTCGACCGCTCTTTTGTTGTTTTAGCAATGGGGTGCTTCGTTTTGTTTTCAACAAATTGCATTTTAATTTTGCACCGTTGGCTTGTCTGTGGCTCAAAGTGAATGCAACTGAGTGCAAATAATTGCTCCTGAATGTACAACAAATAATGCCGAAAATGTAGTAAAGTAGTTTAAGAAGTTAAATTATTTGACTAGAAGGCATTTCGAATTCATTGTTTTCATTTAGTATTGAAATCGTGTTCCCAGGTACGCAATGCGAATTTGTCGTTTGACTCTGGCTACGTGAGCCTTTAATGGCATTTTATGCGCAACTTTGGGCAAACTTGAAGCGGTTGCAGGTCCTTTGATTTTAACTTGACAAAAGTTGCGCCAAGTTGAGCGCACATTACAAAAGCCTCAGCACGGGCACAGCTCGTGACTCGGTGTAAAAGTTTCCAGCTGCTCCGTTGACTCCTCCATCTCAGCTTACTCTTGCTTTTGTCCTGCCGCAGTGGTATTTGGTCGACCCAGTTGTTGGCCAACTACTTGAGATGCAGCAGCGACAGTCTCTTCAGCCAGCTGGACATTTGCATTGCATTTGGACAAACGTAAATCCCCGATGGGGGCCAAGGGACAGTGCAGCACGAATATTCAGCCCGTTGTCCTTGTGCTGCTCAAATATTAAAGCCGCTCAAATGCACAAGCCGGCACAAGTTCGCTAAATCGCAACGCCCATAAGTATGCAATGCCATGGTTAGAATTCAAAAGTGAAGGCAATCCCATCGAAAATTTGACTAGATCAGCCCCAATTGAGGCACACTTTAATTAACTAATTGCGGCTATTAAAAACGTACTTCGCCGCACGTGCCTTCAGTCACGCCTCAGGGAATTCGCGACAAGTGAAAGTGTGACACCGAAAGTGATGAAGTTCAAAGACAAAAAAAAACGGGAATTTTCAGGCAATTAGCGCTAAAAGCCTTTTGATGTTCAAAATGGCCAGGCACACACAAGCCTTACCCTATGTCAAGGATGCATTGGCCCCTTACAAAGCCGTTGCATATGTGAGCATAACTCAAAGCCTGGCAAATTCATTAAGCTTGAGATACGCAGCAACCGCAGTACGACGACAGCTGCATGGTTAATCATACGCCATGTTGCCGGGCTTTAAAAAATTCCACAGCAGCTGAAGCCAGAAAAGCCTTTTAGCACTAACAAGCAACTACAAGACACGGCACAATGACAAATATTGTGACAAAAGCGCTACACACATACACACTCGCACTATAGACGAAAAACAAAGAAAGCACGAACCACTCGCAGTGTAAATATAAAATTTTATAATAACAAAGCACGTCGCAGGTGCAATTAGTGTGCAAATAAGCGTTTATTTGCCTCAGACAAACAAAGACAGAGAATGAGACAGAGAACAAGAGCGAGAGAGAGAGAGAGAGAGATTGAGAGAAAGAGAGAGACAGGGAGAGAGGCAGTACCGAGGACATCTCATAGAAGATTTGACCTCGTTTATGTCAAGGTGTTTCAACTTTGCAAATGCCAGTCAACTTAATTGCTCAGCTGCTTTTACTGCATGGCTCAAATCAAAATTCAATTTAATCTGATATCAATTTTGGTCAGTGCTTGGGGAGCACATGCTAGAAAATTGCCAACATGTGGCTGGTGTGTTGCTGGGCGCTCATAAATCATTTTTATGTGCTATGGCAATACTTGATACTTTGATAACATTGATAAAGCTGCTGATCGTTGCCTGCACTTAGGTAAATCACATGCAACACATGCGACTGTACATTACTCAAGTGCCAGTCATTGAAATAGTTGCCCGGCATGTGTAAAGCAACACCGGCCCGGTTGGGGGCAAGCAAACAGCAAAGGCACCGCTGGGGACAGCTATTTGCCAACATGTAAAGTACACTGACATCGCCTGCAGCCGAACAACAGCTCCAACAGCAACTACAACAACAACTCCAACAGCAACAACAGCAAACAGAGCAAACGCTTTGGCAACGACAACTGTCAGCTCAAACTCAGCTATAGGACTCAATTGACTAGCATAGCAGGAAGGCAGCTAGCATACAGTTGTAGAAGTCTCATGTCTTCTAGCTCACCCAGTTGCCCTGGGCCACAAGCTGGCTGCTCGGGCTAACGCCCACTCTCTCTCTCTCTCTCTCACACTATCTCACCCTCTCTCTCAGTCGTGTCCCTCTATTTGTTTTGCTCCGCTGTCCACTGTGACAGTTGGCAGCTGCCTAAAAATTTGCACAGAAAATGCCAAGCCCTGGGATTTAGATGGCTATCGCTGCAATTTGGCCAGCCTGCCACTGTGCCAAATGGAAATTAATATGTATTTGTATACCCTGCACCTAAACAATGAGTTAAAGAGCATATCATATAACTGTGCATTGTCAGAAACTTAATGACATAATGGCATAACTTGGAGCACTCAATTTTTCCAGTCCGTCCAATATGTTGGATATTATTTTATGCAAGCGTATCCATTAATTTGATTGGCATGCTAAGGGGTATCTCCTCGTTGAGGGCTCTTAATTTTCTACCAACTTAGCTATGGGAAATTGATTACATTCACTGTCCAAGAATGCAAATTGGTTTTCAGTTTTTA